CGGCAAAAGGATGATTCTAAAACAAAAACATACACGATAAGAAAAAATATCCAACGGCCAGTTCATTTTTGCCTACTTTTAACTTTGAGTATAATCATATACACCTACTTTTGGGTACAACTAACTATTTTTGGGTAGAAGAGAATTGTCAATTCCATACTAATTGAACACAAGTAAATGAAAACTCTTCACCCACATTACCTACTTTTGGCTTCCTGCAATATAGTGCCGAGATTTGTGAAAATGAGTCACTTTGGGATCTTTTTTCTTACCGTGTACCCGCAGGTTTGAGCTCTGGAATCACTATTGGACAGGTCGTATGTAACAAAAGTGTACAAAGTGTGATGTTGAATCAATTAACTACTATGATGACTTGACATGTTGGTCTTGGTGGCTAGGCGCATAATTATTTTCTTTATAGGAAGGGGTGTCCTGGGAAGTGGTAGGTCGATAATATTGGCAATTCTTTACCTTTCTATTTTTTTAATTAACATTTACACATTCGACCTGATAATAATGAACTCTAGAAGCTATGTTTACGGTAGTTGCGGTAGTGCATGATGTACACTCACACCACTACAGCATCAATGATAATCAATTCACTGACACATAGAAAGGAGAGAAAAAAAGCAAAAAAAGCGTGACGTATCGTATCACCTTAAGTAAAGAAAGTAAAAGAAAGCCAGCAGTCTCTTCGTCGCATCGATTTGGTCGATTGAAGCTGATATTGTGACACCCTGATCGTAACTGGTAACTCGCTTACACATACTTACACTTACTTACCTCCCTCATGGTGGTGTTAGTGTGCATGGGCAAGGTATCAACGAGAAATCGACGATCATTGTTTGCAAAATCAGATGCGACCATTTGGAAAGACGTCTTTGTTCAATTTGTGATTTAATCATTAGATCTTTCTTTAGGGCTCAACGATGGCTGATAATCTTTAATATGGGATGCATTTAGGACCAATATGTGCACGCTTAGATCAGATAAACCATATTTATATGAAGAGCTTTGAGTGGGTTGGTTTATTTCCTTTAAATTCCGTTATACTTGCTTATAGTATAACGGAATTTAAAGGAAATAAACCAACCCACTCAAAGCTCTTCATAAAGGGATTCCGTTAAGGTTCGACAAATTAAAAGGATTCATATTTATATAATTTTATCCAGATTGGACGTAAAGCGGACAAAGGCAAATATGAGTAAATGTGATCCATATATGAATTAGTTTTATGTTACCTAGTTAATTGCTTATCTGATATTTGTGTGTGGAAAGTAAAAGAAAAAAACAACATATAAAAAAGACCGACAAGTTTACCGTTTTTTTCATACTACCGCCATGAGAAATGCACAATCGTGTCATCAGCCGCTCAAAGGAAAATGCTCTGAACGAAATATAGAAATATTTAAAAATTTAGAAAGGTTTGCTTGCACTTTCGCCCAACAGTGATGTCAGATTTTATTAAAGTTGATTCCTTAGATGCCATAACTTTTGGAAGTGATGCGCGGTTCGTGGAAATTTAGCAAGGCGCCATCCGGGTTGAGGAAGGGTGTATCCATATAATTTCGTGCATTTTCGAAAAATTCGATCATTTCCTTAGATCTACGAAAAATTCCGAAGATCTGGCATCGCTGTCGCTCAAGCGCAGCGCTATTCTATCTGTTGGAAAAATTTCCAGTCTTCTTGATATGATGTCTTTGGTAAAAGCTAATAAAGCCTTGCTGCCAAAAACAAGATAATACGGTCATTTATTTTAAGTCGGATGGCTTGAAAGTTTTAAATTTTCTGGATTTAAAAATTCTCTGAGTTTCTGTTTAAAGTGCATTTTATTTCAAGAACACCACTTGACCGAATGGGTTGCTCTTCTTTGGCTTTTATGTCCCAACTGGAAAAGGACGCCAGCTCTCATTATGTTTTTCGAGCCCTTCCATATTTGTTATTTGAGATCTTCCTAAGCCTGTACCATAAGGGTGGCCCAAAATAACACATTATCTGGAAACCTGGGGACCCACCCTCCAAAAAATAGAGTATTACAAAAAAAAAATGGTAGTTTTGTTCCTTATCGCAATATATTACACCCGTATTTTTTATTTTGTCATTGAGGTGACCATTTCCATGTTAAAGTGGTCCTAAAAATCAATTTTCTTCGATTTTTTTTTCAAATATGTCATTTTTTTAAATAATTTATACCTTTTGAACCTGGACCGATTTCAATGATCAAAATATCAAATTAAAGGTGATTTAAAATCTTAAATATAATATTGTTTAAAAATGATTTTTCTATTGAAAAACATTTGTTTCTATGGTATTCATGGTTTGTAGATAGAGGGCGCAATATATTTTTTGACGTAGGACGTCTTTCGGGAAGGGTGCCTATCTAGGGAAATGCAACGAAAATTGGTCAGACTTTTAATGCTAATAACTTGGCTAATGATCAATGGACTTTGATGATTTGTGTGTCAATCGATTCGGCAGTCTTATAAAATGTGGTATGTCACACATTAAAAATGTTAAATATTTAAATAGCTAAACATTAAGAAATATGGAAACATTCAACTTTATTATAAATTTTCTTCGACCGCAAGGTGCTCACTAGGGTGATGCAATATTTGAAATTTTCACTCCACAGTGCTTAAACGGTTCCAAATTGGGTCCTGCTTATCCTCTCAAAATTTGAACTACTTTAGTAAGAAAATGGCTTGGCACAAACCATTTCAAGTTTATATGGGAATTACTGTGGGAAAACTTATGTTTTTGTTCATATCTATCTAACAATTCACCACATCACTATGCTTTTAAAAATGATAGCAGTGATTGTAGCAACTTTGCAGCAGCTAAGTTGGATCAAGTTTATCAGTGACTACGTAATAAACAATTTTGTCAATATCTCGCAAAAGTCTGTCAATAACAATGGCAAATCTCATCACTGATCCTTATGGACCGTGGGACACTTATGCGTATAACGACAGTGTAGGAAAGCTATGAGTTTAGTTAGTCTTCTTTATTAGGAAGACTTTCAGCCTTTGGCTGGGTCGCCTCTTTGAAGTGATTAGGCACCATGAGGGAGACCCCCTAGTGACAGAGTACTTTTTTGTGTGGTAATTCCTGAAGGGAATCCCCCATGTTACAGAATACGAGGGGGTGGGATTCCAGAAGGCAATGTGACCACAACTTATACTGTACTTAAAAGATGAAAACACAAGTGTTAATTGCATCAAATGTGCTTTAAATTTTGAACACAGGCTCAGAACTTATTTAGCCTGCAACTATAGGAGAGTTTACCCCATACTGTTAAGAGGTGCTAATGGGAGCTAAATAATCTGAATAATTATTAAATTTCACATCAAAATATCGTTTAGTATCGCTATAGCCAGGTTCATCAATCAGGCAAGCCTAATTTGAAGACGATCCATTATTCAGTACAGCCCTTAGAAGGAAACCCCGCGATTGCCATTGAAAAACAAATGTATTCAAGTTGCCTGATATTCCGATTAAACCACCCACAATTGAATGATGGCCTTTACAGTAAACTCGTAGATATACATACATAGCTAGCTACGCATACGCTGATGGCTGTCTAAATTCATTAGACAAACTTCGTTCCAAAACGAATGCGCGCTGCTAAATACTGCCACCACTGCTTATTGACTTTCTGAACCCTTGGTGCGCAATGGAGGAAGCGCACTTGTTTGGCAATCGTCGTTTGGGCGTCCGTCCGAACAAATTTAACTTTTCTTTCCTTCCATTCACATGCATAGGCAGATACATTCAATCTATAAGGGAGCACGTTGCTCGACTTGGTTTACTATTTATTTGCAACAACGATAAACTACCAGCAACAGATCAGTGAAAACAAAATACGAATGTGACTGAAGTGTACACATTCTGAAGGGTATTACATTTAGTTGAATTGTGTAAACATCAGAATTGAAATATTTACATTAAAGTGTCACGTTCAATGTGATCCATCTTATGTGAGGATTGAACAGGATCAGTAACCTTTAATCTGCTTTAATGAAACTTCGTTGAATTCAACGAGTTCATATACACAAAATGATATTATTATCATACATTGAATTTCGTTTGGAGAAACTGACTACTTGCTCTAATTTCGAAATATTGCACCAGAAAGCGGATGCTGCTTTTCCGATTTTCTGCTCGTAAAATGCTTTCCGGTCCAATCAATGTGTTTGAGTTAAACCGACCGGCTAACCGGTCTGATACTTATGTAGATACGCGCTAAATATATAAATGAACTTCACTGAATAGGCACCTATTCTCGAAGTGTATATTTGCTTAAGCATGAAAGCAATTTGAGGTGGGCGTGTATGTGTAGCGTAAGGTGGGGCAAAAGTTCGACCTTAGTTGAACAAACAAAATATCTCAAAACTCCAAGCAATTGCAATCAAACTAATTCCATATACAGGATCCCTAATTCAAGGTTTACAACTTTTTTCTTTTTCATACACTGTTCGGGACATAAAACCCACTGTGACCACTAAAGTTATGAATTAATTAATAATTACATGGGACACGACTCGAAACGTTGCCCTTCTATAGGCAATTCTAGCTTCCTGATGACATATCAAAAATCTTATACTCCTGACGACATCTTCAAAAGAAACACAATCAAGCTGTTAAATAAAATTATCGCTTCACGATTGAGTTTCTCTTGATCTATGTCCCCAAAATTGGTACAAATGTTATAATTTATAATCTCGATACAATTTTTGCTGGTAACTCTTCGAAAACTTTATCAATATTTGTGATATTTTGGAGAAAAGCCTGACTTTAAAAGAACTTCAAAAGAAGTTTCAAAACATTGAGCTTTGTGTTACACGGACACCTCAAAACGAACTTTAGCCCCACCTTACTCTATTATAAAATATAATTACATGCAACATGTATAATCTATTTAAACGTGACATAAATAATAAAAACGAAAAATAATCCCATATTCAGCTAATGTTGTACTCTTCTTCCATTCTCCATTACAGATTCTCCCCAATCTTCATATTTCGTCACTTCGCCGGCATGGCCGCCTCACCAACTTCGACCAATACCTCGAACTCAGTTTCACTGAACCGACAATTGAGCAAGAATGCCGACACGATATCCCTCTGTTCGACCACCAGTGCCTTCTCGACGTGCCCCGATCGGCACGGATTCTACGGTGGCAGTCAGTTCTCGGAGAAACCCGCAAAGGAAACCCTTACCAGAGAGCAGATCATTGCTCGCGAGAAGAAATGGCTCCACATGACCAACCACTGGCAGGAGTATATGAATAAAAATTACAAAAAAGTAAGTTTTGATTTAGCCCAGCACGGAATCCCGTTCCGTAAACCAAACTCATATTTATCCACAGTTACGAGAACGCTGCCGCAAGGGTATCCCGCAGGCGGTTCGTCCCAGAGCATGGTTCTACCTGACCGGTGCCTACCAGTTGCAGCAAAAGTATCCGAATCTGTACAATGAGCTGCTCCGCCAGCCGGGCAATCCGCATATAATCGACGAAATCAAGAAAGATCAGCACCGGCAGTTCCCGCACCACGAGATGTTCATCGACGAGGAAAAGCCCGGCCAGAAGGAGCTGTTCAACGTGCTGAAGGCATATTCGATACACAATCCAAAAGTAGGTTACTGCCAGGCTCAAGCGCCGATTGCTGCCTTTCTACTAATGCATTTGCCCAGCGAGCAAGCCTTCTGGTGCTTTGTTACTATCTGCGATAAGTGAGTATCAGCTTCCGTAATGATTTGCTACTAGCTTGCGGCATGTTTTTTTTTTGGGTGCGTTTCTTAATGATTTCTTCGGTTTCTAATTCCATGCGAAAAAAAACAAAGATAACGATTAATCGATATTATGTGTTATATACAGCACGAAGCAGACTACGGAAGAAAACTTATCAACTCCGTTCTTTTGTCGATTACTCACTCTCACTTCAGCCTAAAGGGAGGATGAGTAACACGTGCGAAGTTAAAGCTTTGAGGTGATTTACCTGATGAGTGGTTCTGATAACAATCCTTCGCAGCTAGACATTATCCACTCGAAATAATAGCACTATAGGGACCTGACTAAGTAGGGAAAATGGCGTGTTGAATCGATCGGACGCGGCTTCCTCCGATTTGCATGAAGCTTTGCATAATTTTTCGTTGAGGTCAATCATTCACATTTGAGCTTAATAAAATTCGGCCATTTGAAACTCGCAAAAAAACATCTAACTGGCGTAACAATTGCTTTTCAGGAAAAATATACTCGGTAAAAAAATATCAAGTAATTTTGGGTTAAAAATCCAAAATAGTGCTTAAAACTTAAATTCCAAAAATGTCTTCTTCAATATCTTAAGAAGAAAGCATTTTTCAAAAGCTATTTAATGAAAATTATGTACATAATATATGCATCACCTCCATTACCCTTTGAGAACTAAACTGTCATATTTTAAAATGCATCTATTTTTCAAACAAACTTTTTATTATTTTTTTTGTTGACTCTACGGGTGATTACAATTCAAAGACGCACGAATATTATCGAGCTTGAATTAACCTACAATTATTTTTTTCGTCAAAACTTAGGCAAAAACTAAGGCAAATCTTAGGCAAAAACTTGTGGTTTTTATCAAGATGCAGAAGGTTTGGAAATATTTCATCGTCGAAAATTGTAAATAAACTCTTTTTTTTGCATTTATTGTATGCCGTTCATTGGTGAAAGAGGGGTAATCAATGAAAGGTATACATTTAATTAATCATATCGTCAGGCCGTTTTTCACAAATCTCCATATAGAAATTGAGATAAGTGGGAATAATTCGCTGGATATTCGATGCATATTCAGGTCAAAAAACTACAAGGGACATCCCTATGGGGTTGTACGCAATGGCAACGTAGGACTACGTGGTCTTATATAATAAATCTTATTAGCTTTTGCTGCAGAGCTTGTATTTTGTGTAGGAATAGGAATTTGAGCGGGGTTCTCTCTGTTTATACTCTTTAGTATGACGCGCTTGACATAGATAGCCCGCAGCGATTCGGCTGCTTCCTCCTTCTATGGATGCTCACGTGGACTGCAGCTCGCTGCTTGCAGGCAGCCTTTCGTTGTGTACTGGAGAACACCACCACTCACCACGTGGTGATTGAATAAAGTTTAACTATAATAGCAACAGTTGCACATTCGTGCAATTTTCAATAGTGACATTTTGAAACATGATAAAGTCTTAATTTTAACAGATTCGTAGAAAAAATTCCTTTCAATTGGCGTATTAAGAATTGAAATCCATCATATCTGGATTAAAACCAGGTCACTTTCACGTCACGCCCGACTTTGGTTTTTGAAATTGCACCCTCAATGTTGCCTTAAAGTACATAGTATGTTAGATTTAAATATATTTAGATTGAGCTGGAATTAGGTGTAACAGCTTTTGTAAACAATGACTTCTCTCAATGATTTTTAGGAATTTAAGGCACGCCCACGCAAACCAACATTACTGTCGGGTAGGGAAGTATTATCCTACCTGATGGGGATGTTGATTTGCGTGAGCGAGCTTTGACTTTCAAGACATCATCGATAGAAGCCATTGCTGTTACGCCCTAATTTCAGTTCTATCTTGATATGGGAACTGATATCCGATTGATGATCTTGACAAATGTCCAAAAAATACTCTTTAACAAATTTGGTGGTCCTGAAAAGCTGCTTGCGGGGAGCTTTTCGTTGTGTACTGGAGAACACCACCACTCACCATGCGGTGATTGAATAAACACCGTTTGGTGAGACCGGATGGAATTCAACTTTTAAATCTGTGTTAGGGAAATCGCTTTCCACAGGTAATCGGTGATAATTTTAAATATCATAGCAACAGTTGCACATTCATGCAATTTTCTATAGTGACATTTAAACAAATGATGAAGTCTTAAATTTAACAGATGCGTAGAAATATTTCTGATCGATTGGTGATAAAATTATTGAAATTGGTCCAGGAGCAGCTGAGTTATTAACGTTCAAAATCTTTCACAATTTTGTTACATGTTCCATTTTCGGTTTTCACAAAGTCTACCTCATATAGAAATCACAGGCATATTCCTACGCCAAAAGGTAAACGACAGCCTAAAGAAATCATTTATGGACTTTGTCGTTCACTTATTTCCCGGAAATTATTGTTAAACAAGCTATAATTAAATGAAAAATATTTTTGCCCATACAGTTTTACCCGGTTAACTAGAGGAAACGCTCCTGTAGTTGCGGTACGTTAGAAGCGTTAGGTTCCTATAATTGTGCATGGAGACTCATTACACAACTGTAGGAACATAACGCTTCTAACGTACCGCAACTATAGGAGCGTTTACCCTACCAGTCCCCAGAGAGCCAAAAAAAAAATAAGGGTGAAAATTAGCTCTCACAAACTCAATCTTTCAACATGCCATGAAACTCTATTTGTGATTTTCCTCTCACAGACTACAAAATAGGGTACCTGATACTGCCAAACATGTATGCATTTATATTAACATCCGAGGTCCCTCCTTTTTTACATATTCTTCACAAAATATACTTTCTGCCCGCCCCATTCAGCTTAGAAAGTAGTCTGTGTGCAGAATATGTAAAAGGAGGGACTTCGAATGTATTTTTGTGCAGAATATGGAAAAAAGGATAGACTTCGGATGTTAATATAAATGCATATATAGAAGTACCATACATGTTTTGACCGCAATGCCCTCTGTTAACAATTAACGGAACAAAGTGTATGCGCAATTTCTTATAGATGTCAACTGAAGGAAAATAACGTAGAAGCATGGTAACATGGTTAATTGGAGGCCAAAGGTTCAGATAAACAAATCGTAGTCATGTGTGCACCAATTTGAGCAAGTTTATCGTTAAACTAAAAATATATTCTTTTAACGACAAGATTGGTACACAGTTCGGAAAAGTAGTGTAAATTTCTGTTCAGTATAATCACAGACAAACAGACGTAACTCTTCATTGTGTATCTTCGTTTACGCATTTAACGGTTGATTTGAATATTATCAGTTCCGCGAACTACTCGTCGCAGCGCTGGCATCGGATCACTTTGACATTTCTATACATTCTATAAAACTTTTATGCAATATTGTTTGCGAGTTAGCGAGCAAGCTTGTTTTCCGCGAGAAGCCCGAGAGATGTCGTTACTGAGATCCTATGTTTTGAGATACTATGTTTTCAAGAAAAACTTTTTCCAAGAGTTACGTCTGTTTGTCTGTGGTATAATGCACATAATGGAGCGTCACATATCACATAAGTTTACATTATATATCATGCATAGTTCTGAGACATTACATGCAATGTAGCAAATATTGTATGCAAAAGCCCATTGTTGCAAACAACAAGTTTATAAGTTGCACGGTTGCGTGAATTGAAATACAAGTTTACGTGTAAACATTCACATCACTATTAAAATTCAGAATTTTTATCTGTGTAGAATCCACAAATGGCCGCTATTATGGCAGATTTTACATAGCAAACCAGCCATCCCATCTAACAATTTTATCTGCAGATTAGCTTATGCAACGAAAATCAGGGTGTGGACTCAATGAAGTAAACCAAGTTCCCTGATATTCCCTGATATTCTATTCGTTTTACAAAAAAAAAATCCGGATTTAGAAAACTATCTATATTTTTCTAATTCGCAAGCTACTAACGGAATAAGCACCAGAAAATCAGTTCAAGCGAAAAAACGACTTGCTTAATCATCGTAATGTTTTCATCAAGTTCATGATCTGGTTTTTTACCTCCATGTTACGAGAAGATTTTCTTGACATGGCAATTTTCTAACCCCTAGAAGTTTCTATTCTAACTCTATCCGGACTTTACACTCATCTGGTTTCCCTCCATTTTGCGTTTGAAACACTTGTCTTTAATCCCGGTTTAAATCAGTTCACTTTCAGCTGTGAACAGCAGCAGCTGATTCTCGGTGTCGACAGTAGTTTTCTCGATCAGGGCATTCTTTGTAGCTCGCATTGTCTCTACCCGCAACTCGGCCGTGTGTGGTTGCTGTTTTTCCAAAAAATGAGGATGAGGTGTTGTAGTGAACAATACCATCAATGCCTGCTTTGAAAATGGTACTGGAAGACCGTAGTTAGGCGAAATTATTTATTTCGCTAAGCCGCTGGGCGTTGATCATATCCAGATAGGAGCTATATCAAGGATGATTTTTCAAAGGGTCGTATAGGGGAAACACGTTTAAGGTAAAACGTGTCGTCCTGGAAAAATTCCCACCAGAGTTGGGTTTCGATGCTTACACTGGAGTACGTGGAGCATAGTATATGGATATGAAAAAGGAAATTCCTATATCGCTGCATTTCCTCAATCGGAAGAGGGATATTCTATGAAGGGAACAAGAACGGGTGTCTTGTTTGCAAGATGGAGGGGCACCGGATGAATTCCTGCCCCAACCGGAAAGCCCGGAAGCAGCCAGTGAAGCAACAACTGGATGAAGGAGGAAGAAAAGCGCGACCAGGAGGTCGTATTCATATGCAAAAATGGACGCCGGAGGTGCCACAGCGGACGCAATTGAGGTGTTCGACGAAGAAGTGATGACAATCGACGAGACAACCCCGGATTAATACAGCATTGAAAAAGAAGAACAAGCAAGTGGAAACCAGGTTCAGAAGCGGTTCGATTACCGTAAAGACCTTCTTCTTCTTTCCTTTATTTAACGTCGGTCTCTGTTCCGCAATCTAGAGCCAATCACCGACGGACATCGATTGTCAT